AAAACTTATTTCTTAAGGCAATTCTACAGATGTTGGGTATTTTCCTTACCCAAGCCATCCTTAAGCACGTATTTCGACGAGTCAAGGAACAGGAGCGATGTGTTCTACTAACTTCCAAAATAAAAATTAATCTTCCCTAAGAGACACTTTAATATAAAATTAAGCTAGGAAAACGTACTTGTGAAACTGGAGACCAAATTAATGAAATACCTCCCATGTGCATGCTTAACACTTGCTGCTGGACAGTGACGAATTTCTGTGAGGCAAAAGTCATAGATACGGTTGCGCCGTTCAAAACTGCTTCAACTTAAGTTGCCAACTTCTATGCTGTTACTTGTAAGATCGAATGCCCAAATAGAATCCTGGTCTATCTGGCTTTAACGGAAGTCGTTAACATGCAAATGGTGAAGCGCCTAAGACAGCTCAGTTCATTAACTTCGTCTCTTTGTATGAGCTCTTAGGAGTTCATCGAGGATGCGACCATTATTAAGTTGAGTTATCCTATGAATTACATTCATGATTCCTTTGTTTAATGACCGGTTTATAAACATAAGGTCAGTGCGTAGCAAACTTTGCAGCCTAATGCGCCCAAAACACGTCTCCACTTGGGATGTTTATGATAAAAGCTGCTGTTTGTGGCAACCGATAGGGTAGGGTTCTCAAAGCGGGGTCTTGCATGTAATCTTTGAGAATGTCTCGGAAATCACAAGTGGTTTGCCCTTGTCACACATTTGTCTGATTAGGTTCCACTGCAGTCAGTAAGGGGCGATTTTTTGCTGAAATCGGTCATGGAAACTTTAGAGGAAGGAGTACGCTTAGATATCTTGGCCCTCTTTATCGAGGTATAATTTGGCTTTTCTTTTACGAGCTACCCATGTTAGATAGGACCCAATCATAACAAACCTCATTCGTAGGCTAAACTTAAAATTGAATTACCCTTGAAGATGTTATATGGTTTTTGGCTGGGTGAAGGGCCAGCAGCTTCTGCAACGAGAGCTTTTCCACAAAACACGTAGGCAGAAAAGTTGTAGAAGGCTCACGTAGTTGAATATAATATTGAACAAGAAACACCACACTGTAAAATATTTAACTTCGTTTAAGCAACGCTTTCCACCTTCGGGTTCCTCCTCACCCACCATGATAGGCTCGTCCTTCTGGGCGAACTTTTACTCTATCTGGTCGATGCCTGTATATTCTTCAAAGACAGCAGCCTAAAGTCCCTACCAAATTCGGTTTTTCCTGATGAAGAGTTGCTGGAAGGGCTTGATCCACAGCAAGCATTAACCCTAACTGCAGAGCCAACTTGCACCCTCTTTCTTGGTTTAACTTGAACGTTTCTCTTTGACAATGCTGCTATTTGCACGTGCAACCATCTGAAAGACAGTCAAGAAAGTATGAAGTTATCTGTTTCCCTAGCTGCCTTTTGTTCCATTTCGAGCAACCCAGCACACCAAGAAAGCGGATATGACTATGTGAAAAGCCTTGGCAGCCTCCAAGGTAACAGCGCCACACCAGGAGTCGACAAGCATCTAAAAGAGCATGCATCGTTCAGCTAGCCCCAACTTGGTTGGGTGCCGGGTCTACCACGTCCCGTCGAGTCTACTCAACGGCGAAAAGTATCAAAAGAGGAATGAGGGAAGAGTAAGAGGGAGGGATGCAGAGACAGAGAAGATGAAAGAGCATTTGTTAGCTGCAAACATTCCATAGCATCATGGAATGGAACTGCATTTGAACTGGAAGAGGAAGGCGAGAATACTGGCTACGGTAGTTAGGTAGCGTGTCAGGCACTAGAATGAGGAGAACTAGATTGTTGAGGGGGTACTGAGGTAGGGATTTGAGAACTAGTTCTGAGTCGATGAATGACCAAAGCCACCTATACCTCTTGTGTCTGGAGCTATAAAGCAGGCACTCTATATGGTATCACCTTAAAAAATATCTTGTTCAGACATAATGAAGTTCTCAGTGGAACACCAAAGGCTTATACTATTGCCTCAAATATCTGTTTCTCAAAAACATTATGAATTATTGCAAAATGTATTCCAGGGACATGACTGATTTTCGATGAATATAGTGCATGCGATTTCCTAGATCGTTTTAAGAGCTGTAGTAAAATCAGTTCTTAAACTGCCTTCCTTATGTACTATCATTTATAAAATCCCAAAGTGGAACACCTGTCAACCTCATTATTCCATTTGTGTAAATGTATTTGTAAATCGTCATGACATATGGCAAAAATCAAAATGCAACAATTTGCATTGTGGTAAACGCAATACCCCTTTCTCTAAGTGCCTTTTCGGAGAAGTTCCTAGAAGATTTAAGCCAATCGGATAAAAGTATTAGGTTGTCTACGAGATTCAGGTTTGATCCTGAATCGAAGTTGTGCCAGAATTAGTAATCCTCGACAAATATCTTAGGACATTTTCGCGTGCAAGGCAAAAGATAAACGTGCATGGCTACATGGTCGTGGTCTTGAGTAAGCTTGGGATAAAAGTGTTAATGATGGTTACATTGTTTCATCTAATATGAAGAGGTCCATCTCAACTACTCTCACGTCTCTTGAAGCTCACATAGTAACGGACCCATTCCATCCGATTGCGCAAGAGGTATTATAATAACTAATTTGTTGGTGCAGCAGCCATTGGAGAGCTGTTGGTTTCAGCAAGGATCATAAGTAATTTTAAGAGACAATTCATATCAACTGAATCATCTTTTGTCGCATTTATAATGACTGCAATAAATATTTTTTGATGGGGTGTAAGAGATCTTCCCTGAGAATTCGAGAGGGATCCTTAAGATATGTTACGCAGTCGCCACAATCCGTTTCACTTAATTTCTTTGAAAATGCAATCCCTTCAATAAAATAATTCACACCTCTTTCAAGGAGACTTTAGTCAAGGGATGTGCATGTATTCAGGTAAGAGCCATGCGGAATGGATGATTGTTTAGTGGAATGTAATTGGGACCTTTAAATTGTGACGACTACCATCGTAGTGAGCAATTATAACACGCTGGAAGTATCACACCCCAGTGTCTTCCTCGACAGGTGGCCATGGGTGTTTTACATCAGAAGATTGGCCATTTACGCAGGACTACAAATAAACTATGACACAGATGATTCTTTCATGCTCAAAGTAGTTTCAATTAAGAGGGAAATTCCGCACTGCTCCGTCTGCTGCCAGTTTCATTGAATGGTAAGATAGTGCTGAAACACTTGTTTTAGTTTTACTGCAGCCGAGGATAACAAGTTTTGGGTTTTGAAGGAAAAGAGTTGATCTGCATTCAGGTAGTCCATTCCTACCCCTATGCCATCACATATCAGCCAAAATTTGCATCAATATACCTTACTATCAGAGGTCTTTTGATGGCTCATACACTCCTTTGTTTCAATGTTCTAGGATAATATTTGACCGCATCTCCTTAGGATCCAGGTAATGGAGCTTTGTCTAGAAGGCTAGCACTTAGCAATTTAAACATTTACCAATGCAGCTTTAACAATCATTTCAAGGCAATTCGCTTGGCAGTCTCACAGGAGACCGACAAACAGATGATAAATGGGAGTGGTGTAGAGTTCATGTTGCCCCAAGTATGCATCATGCCTTAAAGTCAGCGGCAAACTCCACTTTGATGTAACAACGAATTTGGAAACATAAAATAAATCGTGTGTTATAGATTATTGTGAGGCCTCGGAGGTCAGCAAGTGGGCATGCGAAACAGTGGATTGCACCTGAGGGGCCATTGTCCAGCACATGCAAGCACGTGAATCGGCTATTAAACGGTGAATGCAACAATTTGAAGTTCAGCAGCCTGAAAATCTCCTGGTCCACTGTGATTTATTGCCCACCAAAGCTTGACGTAAGCAAAGTGGTCGATATTTAACGACTTTGCTTTAGTTAACGCACCACCAAAAGCTCTCTTGTGGTTTACAAAGATGACATGTGTGGGAATATATAAGGCGTGAATTGGTAGCTCTACAACGATAGCTGGATATAATACCACACAGGACGCAAAACCTGCGCACACAGCGAACATTATTCCAATTGTATCGGTCTGTATGCATTTTTAACAGCATTTTTTGCAGTTCTAGCTAAATTAGTCTTTCATATTCATAACTTGATTACACCTAGTCAAGTATCGGCAAAGCCTTAGTTCCATTTCCCATTCATTGACTTCCTTTTAAATATTAGAAACAAACATTTTTGCAGATTCAAAATTGTTTTAAATTTATTCTAACTTTGAGCATATTTGCACACATGCGCAAATGCTACTGAAGGCTTGCCGTTGAACCAAAACTAGCGGTAACACCAACACCTCATCCAATCGAATGACTTTAGCGCATAGCATCAAGCATAACTTCCCTTACTGATTGGCCTGTGATGAGCCATGCTCCTCAGTACCTAGAGCACCAACAAAAGGGTACAGTATGCTGATTTGGCATGGTAACTAGTGCTTTGTCAAATAGGCACTCTAGATTACAGTAATAACGATGATGTGAGTAGTAAAGAAGTAAATCATTCAACCAAGAATAACATCAAAAGATGGAAAAATCACCCATGAATATGTGCTATTTTCCACTAATACTTTTACTTTTGTTCATCCGTGGATAAAATTTAGCTAAATATGTATGTCAGCGATAGCAATTTTGCATATTTTTATGATGCGAACAAAGTATGAAGGCTACGAGACCGGTTCCTTGAGGGATTAAATAATTCATCTGGAGGTTGGGGCATACGCCATAGGATAGACGAAAGTGAAAGGCACACAGGGGTACAGTGCCTAAAACAACCAATAGGAGAACAGCATCCGCGCATTCTCCTCACTTTGATCGCCTCAAAGGAGCGATGTTTTAGCATCCGCAAGTCTATTCAGACCGTGACTCAATGAAAAGCAGGTAGTGAGTCAGGGTTGATGACTGTCAAAAATGACTAGCAAACCTTCCTCCATGGCTTTATCCATTATATATTTGGCCTCATTACCATCGTCATCCCCATCACACAGATGAACACAAGGTGGGAGACGGATCCGAATTGCAAAAAGAAAATCATTCTAAATTGATATGCACTTGGTGCATCAGAGGCACCGACTATGTGCCTGGACCGGATTTGAGCAGGAGAGCTGACTGTTTGCATGAGCACTCAATGACTACTAAATTTGAATGAACGAGCTCATCAAACTACTTGATGAATGTCGAGGTAATTAGTAGACTTTTGCTACTTTAACAGCTTCCCTAGGATATGTCCTGTTAGCAAACACCCACGCCATGAAGCGGCATCCCAACGTCGAAAATCCCCGCTCATTAGAAGAGAGAGCTCATAAAATCAAAGGTGTTTATTGAAACCTATTATCAACACAACACGGCTGCATTAGGCTTCTCTTTTGTCAGCTATCCAGTGTCCGTATCGCCTCCGTAATTATTGAATCATTAAGCCCCAAGAACTGAAAACATTTGTAATTATCTTCTTCAATTTTTGCCGTCTGATTTCGTCTTTAACCTTTGTCGTCTATTAAAGCTAAGGAGACCAGAAACCTATTCTAGCAAAAGATCTTACAAGTAACAACACAGGAGGCAGAGTTCTAATTTGATGAGATATTACCTTAAATGCCGCAATTGCAACTTTGACCTTTCGCCTTACAGCAACTCGATCTAGCAACTTAGTTTTTATTTCTTAATTTAGGTTTTTCCTTCTAGGTACCAAATTTTAATAATTAGTTACTCTGCTTCGAGGTTAGTATCAGTTTGAGGATTACTGCAGCAAATCAGAGCTGTTCCTCGTTTCATTCCGAAATCCATACTTAAGGTAAAGGTCTGTCTTAGCGTCGATGAATCTTACCCTCTCCAGGCTTTCAAATTCCCAGTTAGCATTGAAAAGACTGGTTTTACAACAATGCCTTGGTCAAAATGATAAATTAAGATGCCGTGGCTCTCTATTGGTGTACTGGGGAGCATGGCTCGCACGTAATCTCACAGGCCAATCAGAAGGAGCAGATTTGTCAGATGCCATGCGCAAAACAGTTTGGTTGGCTGAGAAGCTGAAATCGGGATAGGTGTGGTCAGGCTTTTAGCAGCCCTTTTGTGTGCGTATATATACGCTTAACGATGAAATAAATGAAAACAAATTAAAATCAGATTTGCATTTAATATTCAAAGAAACGTTGAAATGAGAACTAACTCTATCGATATTTTGCTAACTGAGATCAAATGGTGCATATTGGGAAATATTTGTTGAGTCGGAAAAGGGAAAATAGCTTTGAAGTTTATGCTAGCTGGTAATATTGAAATAACGTTTGTTTAGGACAAAGTCAATCAAAGGCCGTTGTTGACGGCTATATTTTAATTGAATTTTTACCACCATAATGCAATTTGCAGTAGGTGCCTTGCAAGCAGCAGACGTCTCTGTTTCTGTATCCCATATTCCAACCTCCAATCACATTGTGTAACCGCGTTGACTCAAACTTTATCACTAGTCACAAACATATGAATTATAAGGTTAATCGACTCTTAAACACAGGACAATCCCTTAAATTCCACCTGTGTCTGTCCATTTTAAATCATCTCTGAGGCGTATTCCTTCCACGCTGTAAACAAAACCTAAAAATGTGGATAGACACATTTAATTTAGACATAAACATGGAAATTATAATAAAGCATCACTCATCTTAGTGGTGATTTGTGGATGAACTGTGTCATAGACAGAATGGACACCGTATGCCTGCAAGTACCGTAAATTGCTCTCCATTCGAATGACCACTGTCTTTTGCTTTTTCTGCAAACATCAGTATCAATTGGTGTGGAAGGAGATGCAATCATGCTTGGGGAGCATTGAGTTGACTGATACACAGCGGATAGAATTTGATGGCCTGCAGACTGCAATAGGCCCGTGCAAGCCGTGCCAATCCCAGCTACAATGCTGTGGCAAAATGAGTCCTCAGCACGTCGACTTTCGGGAGAAACCTCATGAAAATGCGTAGATGGGCAAGGGTTTACTCCAATTCCTTTGCGTATATGTGGAAGAAGACTGCCACCAATAAGGGAAGAGGGTGAAGTAGTGCAATTTGTTGCTACTTAGAAAGTTGTACTTTCTCATGATAAGTGGCAATGGCAACCTTCTCGGTGGTACTCCAGCAAAGTGATTATTGATATCAAAATTAATAGACACGACAGATTTTGCTAAGGAACCTCTTTGGCTTGTGGTTTGACAAGTGTACGAAGAGTTTTAACATAGGTGGAAGAGTATGGGAATGAACAAACATGGAACAAACATGGGGGTAGATTAAAATCTAATGGAAAGTTTATTATGTTGGCAGCGGCACAGCATTTGACGTGGGATTCTCTACCATCCAACGCCTCTTTTTAGGCTAAAATTATGCATGTGCTTGGGTGAGTTATGACTGACCAGCGAACATGAAGAATGTCTAATTGCTGCATACTTGTGTTACTTTATTTAGTTGTTTGGTCTTAGGACAGTATCCTCCCACAATTTTACTGCACCATTCTCTTACACTTCTTTGTCCTGCTTCCAAATGTCTAGGTAGCCTTAGCCGAGATGTTTTCCACTTCCTTCCTCCTGCTTCTCTCCCTAACACCCCGATTTCCGAAAAAGTCATGCGTTTCTTTTTCACAGAAGTGATTGCTCGTTTGCACAGCGTGCGAGATCGAGTGCGTTGTTACCTCGCTGCTCTTGTAATTTCAGGGAATAATCGTTCAAAACTGCCAATTTAGTTTGTTATTTCACGCAAATGGACAGTGAGGCATCATCACTTGTGGCTACTTTGAGTGCTAGTCAGGCAGAACACCAACTAAGGGGTAACGAGCCCTAAAGTGCTCACTTCACTGTATCAGTGCCTTCCAATTGCACCATATAACCAGCAGCGTAGATCGTAACATAGCCCACTTAGCATTTTTAGCCTTCGTTCGAGTGACACATACCGAGGGTTCAACAAATCACACACGTTTACAAGTAAAAGTGGTCACACAACTAGATGGGGAACCTCCATCCTCACACTTTCACCCCAGTAAATTAGCCAACATCGGCCAGATTGCGATCGAAGGTGTTACGGGAAAGGATTTCCCACCACCCCAAAAACACAGGTACGCAAAGTCGTAAGGCACATACAGATCGAGAGGTTTGATTGCCTACCTACACATGCGTAAGCACGTTGTACGTCTGATCCAGTGACTAACCTGATTAAGGGAGTAAGGACTGATGGATTATAGAAAGGAAGCATTAGATTATCTGCCTTGCGCATTCCCTCTGCCAGTACTTCAACCATTTAAATAATAAAGTGGTTCAGGGAAGGAGAAGTTAACCTTGAAAATATCTATGTATTAACAACTGGTTTTCAGTCTTGTAGGCTATTCATGCATTTTCCACCTCTACAGAAATGTTTCATTTGGTCTTTCAACGTCGTAAACTGTGTTATAAGTAGGCAAAATCGCGTAATTCCTTTCTGTTTGACTATTTAGATCTGTCCAACTGATGGCAAATCTCCGGATGCTCTGCGTGTCCCGCTCTCGTTATCTTCCTACTTGCTGGCCCATTTTAAGCAGAAACGTGCTTCAAGTGCACTGCTGACCAACCAAAGACGCTCGCGTAGTCTCCACTGTCTTGCTGTCATGCTTATATACACTTGTCGCAGCCTCCCATGCTCACTCATACGTTAGGAAAAGGAAAGCTGTTCAGATCCAATCGTCTACTGATTATCTGATTTGGAGGAAGAAAAATTCAACCTCAAGCAAGTGAAAAAGCCAACTTTGTACGACACCGCCACATGTTTCCATCGAGTTAGACGCCTCAGCCCTGAAGACAAACGACACCGTCGATCTCCAAAGTAAACATAAAATTAGATTCCACCTCAAACACCTACTGCTTGTAAAATTTCCTTTCCAGCAATGCATCATCTTCCAAAAATTCAAACTTGTCGAATCACAAAGAGAAAACGGACACTGATCTCCCGTAAAACACAGATATTTTGCAAACATCTCACTAAATACTATACATAATGAAATATCTTCATCTAGCCATTGCCCCCAACCTAAAAACCTAAATCTGGCAGTGGAAGATAAAGATAATTTCGATGATATATTTAAATTACATTCACCTAAGTATTTGATCTTAAAACTACAATCTAGTGGATTCTTCCAGGAATTATGTGCATTCGTCCTAGACTAAAAGCCTGGGTGACTAGAACGCCAGAATAATCGTTGTGTCCCTTGAAACTCTGAAACGGAATGCCGCAGCATGAAAATATATTTAAAAATTGCTAGTTGCTAAGTTCCACTAACACAATTTGTCATTATCGGCTCGCCCTCTGATGCCAAGTTCATATTATATTATTTGCGCTTAGTTCCCAACCCTATGTGTGAGAATTTGTGATTTAAGGTCAAGCCGCAGGTGGTCTCGTGATCGCTCCGTTTCAGCTCCGGTACTTTAAAGCCCACCAAGGCCAGTTTACGACAGGTTAGTAGGCACCAGTTTTATTTACCGGATGACTGAGGTGACGGGTGAGACAGAGATAGGTGGTGAGAAAATAAATAAGATGAAGTTTACATGGAAGAGTGGTGTGGCGGCGCATATTATCCATCGTATTCCGTAAACTCGCATTATCTTGAGACAGCTATACACCCATCTGCATGTGATGGAAAATCCATGTATCCAATTACTGACTCAGTCCATATGTCAAATCATTACAATGCAGAGATTGCTTTCTGAATATCTAACATATTATTCGAATCCGACAAGTCACAACAACATTCTGCCGGCTTGTCACTCCTCCAATTCATTATTTGCATCCCGCCTGCGAGCGATGGTTAGTTGGTTCTGGCAATCTCTCTCAAAGTGGATGGATATAACGCATAAGTGTGTGCATCCGTTGAGCATCATTTGTGCAACATCGCGAGGCTTCCATGAAGACGAAAGAAGACACTCGAGCAGAATTTTTATATTCGCACGGAGAAGGTATTTGTGCTACTGCCATGGACAGAAGGACAGCCTATCCGGGGAGGTGCAAAGGCCAAGTCAAAAGTGGCTCCTCACCGAAATGGCAAGTTTAACGACCGTCGCATTACGTAGCCCCTCTCTTCTTTTGAGCGTCGTCCCCGGCGTTCCCCTTGGTCATCCTTCCGTATCAGCCATCACAACATAGTCGGTGCTGTAGAGAAAATCCCGCGATCCGGCCGTGCCAGTCATCAAATTAGAGGGCGTCATTACAGATACTTGACCTCCTGGAAATTTACTTGGATCTGGAGTTCCGTTTAGTTTGAGAAATGGATTCAATGGGAAATTGTGCTGGCCATCATACACCTTCATCGATAGATGTTGGAGCACTGTCCTAACAGCAGACTTGTGTAGGGCAGAACGGGATTTAACACAGGTCCTTGGGAAGGGGTTTCGCGTCTGCTCCTCCTTGATACGTTGTTACCACCTCGGAACTGCCCAGCTATATCTACCCAGGATCTATTTAGCTAGTTCGGAAATGGAGGAGGTATTGCAAATTCACATAGCCAACAGCTTTAAGCAGGTACGGTAAGGAGGTCTGTAACAAAACTACCATGTAGTTCACGGCTAATGTCGCCTCAGTTGTTGATGGCTTTCCTACAAATTTACCTAAAGACTGCCTCGGCAAATCATTCCTTTCATCTTACTTAGCAGTCGAACTTACTATGCCTTACAAATACTTTCAGTTGCGTTTGCTTACAACACTTGAACTAATTTTACGTTGCCTATTGACTCAGGTCGTAGCCAAAGATGTTCTTATGGTAAGTGTTTTCACTTGGCTAAGCATTCATTCCTTACCTATGAAGACTAAATAAAATATCTCCGCCTGAAAAATTGGGTTGTAAGCAGTGGGTGAAGTCAAACACGAAAAATAACACGCATTGACTGAGTAGTTGAGTAGGGTTTGAAGTAGGTATTCATACATTCATTACTGTTGCTAATTCAGGCTTCCAATTCTACTTGTAAAAACTGTTTGATGCCATTATTTTAATAAAGAGCGACATTAAAAGCAGGTGGAAATCCGAAATTTGGCACTGTGCTGGGCTTTACATATGCGTACGGGTGGAGCTTATCAAATCCAACGCTAGCCGTAATGCATTGCTGGATGTTTTAGAAACCGCATTCCTCTTCTAATGTCCCTGACTACCTAACGCTTGAATTATACTAAAATAATCCTGCAAAACCGGAGCATATTGATGCTATAAAGAGCCTGGAAGATATTCATTGGGTCGCTGAATACTGGAAGTCGCATCCTCGAAAATCATTTCCACTCAGTTGGTACTTGACTCGTACAGAGGCGGCTACCGACAAACAGTACTGGTGAGGATATTCGGTAGTCATCTTTTTGCAAATGTGGTTGTGTGTGGTCGTACCTGACTAATAATGGGAAGTACTTATGGTCTTTCCATCATCTGCTCTGGTAACACATGCTTCGCTTTTCATTTTGCACTTGTTTACTGAAGTTTTTTGGCTTTCCGAATTGTCACGATGGGTGTGAAATATGTGATGAACTTGTATGTTTGCAGTCACGCGAACCTATTTCGATTGCCTTGCAAAAGCCAAATTTGACTTCCCCAATGCAAAACTTGGCTGTTACCTCCAAAGTTGTGCTTGTCTCTTGGACTTGGTTATGTGAAATTTCGAAACAACCATGCATCATGAGTTAATGCACCATTTTTCCTGTTTAAGGTGAGAAAACAGGATGAAGTGCAAGACCTTCGAAGGTGGCAGCAGGAGTGGAGACTGTAGAAAAATGAAGAGAATTCATCAAACACTTTCGTTTTTTCTACTTTGCATGAATGAACCACACGACTAGTCACATTCCAACGTCAACGAAATCGTCAATAAAATCCCGAAAAAGGTTTCCATTCAACCCCGAGTGTACCTTTTATTACTACCACTCAATTTGGCCTTCTGCTATGTCACTCTCAATGAAGTCGGAAACTGTAGGTGTTGTTTACTTCAAGTAAAATACACTCACGTGGGAAAGCTTTCGTGGGCCAAAAACCTGTCCTTACCTCAATTATCAAGGGTATGGTTACAGACTCATAATATCAACTTCAAGTAAGTCGCCACCTTTCAACACATTACTGACCTCCTTCAAACTCACGATGTTTCATCCCTAACAGTGACAGCAGACTTGTTTTAAAGACGCGTCACTAGTAAGCAAAAGGAGTGAGTTAAACCGATCATAAGTGGAAAGGCAGAGAGATTAGACATACCAGAAGGCATTGTGCTGAAATGAAGAACAAACTACAGAGACTAAAGAGCATCGCGTGGAACATTCCCGGGTTAATTCCCCTCCCAAAAAATTTTTCACTGCATGCCGTTTGTTCGTTGGCAAGACACCGGATATGTTTAACTGTACATCAAAATATGCTAGGCTAATACGGCGTCTACTCTCTACTCCGATGCCGACCTCAAAGTAGCAGGTGAGGGAGCAAATCAAATCCATATGCCTTTAGTATCCCCTCCTCCCATTCAAGCCACCAATGCCAATGAAGTGAGATTTCACTTGACACTGCTCTGGTAATAAGCACAAACACCAGTTTGCCTTAAAGAAAATCATTATTGAATCATATTCCTGGAGGCGAAAAGAACAAAGGGGTTGTTAACAGGGAAAACGATGGAGTTAGGAAAGCCTTCTTAATAACAAGGGAAAGGAAATGGGTATAAATGCGAGAATAGGGGAAGATGAGTGCAACTTACAGAGGTATGTGTAAATTCCACACCGGCACCGCCAACGTGAAAGGTCGAAAGGAGTGAGTGATGACAATGGTGGTAATAATGCCGCAGATGCAGTTTATTTAACCACTTATAAGTAGGTAAGTGGGTGCCAAATTGGAAGCTGCCGCAATTCACAGCTTATAAATTCAGGCCGGAAGTATGGACGAAAATGGAGAATAGATTTTCTCACTTGTCGTTGAGTCGAGGTCCAAGGCTTCAGTGGAGGTAAGAGCTATGAGCTGCCTCATCAGTTCAGGTCAAAACTGTAAAGATGGTGAAATCATTCCTCGCCCGAGCTGACAGTGAGGGCAGTGAAGGAGTCCTAATCCCAGCAAAAGGTGTGAGTCCTCCCACTGAGCCCAAACAATTACCCTTATGTGGGGTTTTGTCAAAAACATCTAGAAACGGGTAAAATGGCAAACAATGATGGCAAGAAGGCGCTAAAGTTAGATGTAGCACTTCCTTCAGACACATTCACAGC